TTACAGGAGCTTGGCCTGGCGTAGTGGCGGCAGCAGCCGCATTGCCTTGGCCTTGGGTGAGGAGCGGCACAATGCTCTCCGATAATAATATAATGGCGGCCGACAAAGCCGACTACACCTCGTCCCGTACGAGAGCGCAGAGATCCGTTGAGCCCACGTCACCTGTGCTGGCGGAGGAGGCATTGGTGCCAGTCGGGCTTCTGGGCTCGCGAGCCGTGTCCGCACTGTCATGTTGCTGGTTCTCCTGGCCGGAGCAGACCTCACTACCAAGGGCTAGTTGTGCCAGCAAACGGTCCTGTAAAATACTTTTACTAAGTTTCTTTCGGATTCAAGCCGTGCTGGGAAAGCACGACACGGAGGGCTTGGCAAGGCATTGCCTTGACAGCGTCGACAGTTAGGTCAGACATACTGAAGAAATACAGTGTTGAGGTGACACTCGGGCTGGCAGCAAAGCTACGAAAGGAAAAGAAACACTGCTGAAGCAGGATTTGTTGTCTGGAAGAGCACAACAGGGCAAGCCAGATTTGTTTTTCTTTTCAGCAAAACGGGCTGGTGCCATTTGTGATTACGCAGCAGAACAAAGCGCATGACGTCAGTCCTGAATGCAGTACAAAGCAATGCAGTGCAGTGTGTGCGCTAGTTCGGATTGTTGCTAACAAGTACTAGCACATCTAGTACACCATTGAGTACCGTGCCTCCACTCGGCTACCTATTACAATGTCTCGTCCTCCTCTAACCGTACCCCAACTCCCCCCCTCTCTCTCTCAGCTCTCTTTTTATCTGTCATTTCTTACTCTTTTTTTGTCAGCTTTCCTGGTGGTTATGTGCTTTTTAAGTAAATAAAAAAATAATAATATTAACTGGTTTGAGGGAAAGGTTGTTGATTTGCACTTCGTAGATGATTGGAGCTAGGTGTCAGGTGAACTGTTAGTCATAACAAGAAACTTAGTATGTAAGAAGAAAGTAAGCAGCAGCACTCGGCACTTGAAAATCCTGCGTCCACTTCACCAATACCACATTTGGGCTCTGCGGCCGACCACGAACATTCCCCACAACAGCAACAAGAGGTTCGGAGTACTGAAAATATTTTAATTCCTCCTGACAGCTGTTTAGGTCACCAGAGACCTTATCAGAGAAGGTAGAATGTTGAATGACTCGACAAAGAAAAAAATCACCTATTTTATACTGACTCTTGCAACAAGATGGCGCATCAAAAAACGCGCTTGATACTCAAAGTGTGAAAATAAGGTTTACTGTTAAAATGAAAGGAACGTCGGGATAGATGCGATAGTTATGCCGGATACTACAGCACAGCACAGATACAGTAGTCATGCGAGTGGCCCATCTGGCATCTACTCGATTCACTCCCTCACCATACTGCACCGTCGGCTCACTCCGTGCGCGTCCAGTTGAGTTCACGTACATACTACTAGTACGCAGTCATTCCGTAGCTATGCAGAAGACGTTACTTCAGTAACGTCTGGCGCTAGCCAGGGTCCACACAGCTTTAATTTGGTGTTTGTTTGTTTTTTTGTGTCACGCCTGGTGCTATCCCGTATCTGTCCCGTACCGGATCGCACCATCAAACACAGCTGGCCATTTGCTGGCTCCCGTATCTGTCCCGTACCGTACCGTACCATCACAATATTGGTCGTATTATGTACATGTATACGACTCCCTGTGTGTTGCAACTGTGCTTGAAGGGGACGGTTGCACTTTTTGTAGGTCCGTTTTATCTGAGTTTTCAGTTGTTCCTCTTACTAGTCTTGCCAAGGGGGTGGCTCTGGATCCACCAGAGTCGCCCCTGGCGTGTTTCTGAATTTGTGTGGGCAAGGGTTCCTCGACGCGGTCGCCAAGGCAATGTCTTTTCAGTCACGTCCTCGTCTTTCTATTCGCGTTGGTGTAGCTGACCCCCGAATGGTTTCAAACTGCGAAGCTCGGAGGAGTACAGTGGTGGCAGAGGCATGATCTGTGAGTGGAGACGGTTGCTGGAGATGGATGGTGATGCAGGGAGAAGAGTTACGCTGCCTGACGACGCGTGGGAAATTGTTTGAACCTGCAATTTCAGTTCGAGCGCGGTGGACTTCTAGACGATGTGTCCTCATGGCTGTTTTTCAACGCTTGGCCTATCGCTGATATCCCTGCGTGGAATGTTCCTCCAGTCGAGTCCAGGTGGGACTTCGGGTGCCCACACTCCATCACCTGGTTGATTGTTTCGGAACTGCAAAACTAATTATTGTTTCCTTTTTTGTGCGCATCTCTTGTCATCTCTCTTTACTATACGTCGCACACCAGATGTACTACTATCGCTGTCTTTCTCTTGCTATCTCTCTCTGCTTGCTGTTTTTTGTTTCTGTTGCCACTGTCCCTCATCATACCCATGCTTGGGTGGAGGGCGGCGTGACCCGTTAGGGTAGCTGTCAATACAGTACGACTCCCTGATGTATAGGGAGACTTTCTGGAAAGAAATAGGGAGACGAGGAGGAAATGAAATTAGAATGGACGTTAGTTGCCGAATAGGTGATAGGATGCGTCAGCAAAAACATACTTTGGAAGAGAGATCCCGTCGTCTCCAAAATAGGCGTGAACGGGCGAGTTAGCGCCGGTCACAGGAAACATTTCCATCAGTTCTCACAACATGCACGATGAGCTAAGCAACAAAGCATAGCGTAGGGCCCTGAGCTTCCAAGCTCTCTCGTTATTGTAGACTTGTTGGCTGTTGTGTTGAAAAACACACCTGCACACAGCTGTCACGCGAGACGTCCATGGGACCTTGGCTCCATGACACTGCACTACGTTGTTTTCTTCACTCTTCTTCTCCTCTCCACTACACTGCCTGCTTGAACGGCACACAATTTGAACTACTTAAGAAGAAAGTATGCAGCAGCACTCGGCACTTGAAAAGGGGATGCTCTATGAGTGAGCCGACGGTGCATTATGGTGATGGAGTGCATGGAGTAGATGCCAGATGGGTCACTCGCATGACCACTGTATCTGTGCTGCGCTTCAGTATCCGGCATAACTATCACCTCTATCCTGACGTTCCTTTGATTTTAACAATAACAACTAGTCCTTGAGTTTTACACCTTATTTTCACACTTTGAGTAACGAGCGCGCTTTTATTGACGCGCCATCTTGTTTCAAGAGTCAGTATAAAATAGGTGATTTCTTTCTTTTTTGAATTATTCGATATTCTACCTTCTCTCATGAGGTCTCTGATGGCCGAAACAGCTGTTGTTCAGGAATTAAAATATTTGCAGTACTCCGAACCTCTTTTTGCTGTTGTGGGGAATGTTCGTGGTCGGCCGCAGAGCCCAAATGTGGTGGTGGTGAAGTGGACGTAGTAATTTATCGGTCCTTGTTCTTTACATGCTACATTTCATAGAAGATCATTCCCATCACAAAGAGACCCAGGGATTGGGTACCTGAGTTCGGTTGGGTTGCGACAACGGAGAGAATTGTGAATCTGCTCTCAATATATCCAGCTCATTGTTGTCGAACTTGATAAAACGCTGTTTTACTTGCAGCTATAAACACAAAGTCCTGTTGGTCAGCAAGGGTAATGGGTGCATAATTAGAATCTGAAGGTGATGAATCTTGGACATAGGAGTCCACTTGGACGGCTTTCAATGGGCCACTGTGTTGACAGTAGCCTGTGTACAGGCAATGTTCGGGTCGTTTTCTCCTTCCCTCTATCCATGTTCCTAAAAGTTTAAATTATAACTTTGCTTGTTTCTCTATCAGAAATGCCCAGCTCAAAAACACAAAATCTGATTGCACTCACACACAGACGAGAGAAGGAACTTGCAGCATTCCAGGACGGGCTCTTGACATCGCCGGAACGAGTGAGTTATTATTATTATTGTTATTACTTGTATGTACGCGTTGGAGTCAACCATGCAAGCATGATTCACAACTTTGCTTATGCTGAACATGATAAACAGGACTATGACAGGGCAAAACAAATTGAGCTAGAACGATGATATAATTATGATAATTATATCATAATAATAATATACAATGTACCTCATGGGTATTGAAGATATGTCATTTATGAATATGTCTATAATTATGAATACTGCAGCCTGAGTGATAATAATAGTGCTATTTCCTGATTGTGATTGTTTCAGGATCTGTCAAAATATCACGATGCACAGATCTTCATGCATAGATCTCGCCATGTGGGTCTGTCATGGGCAATGGCTCGCAGGCACGCAGGCTTGCAGGCACGAGTGAGTTACTTGACCCACATGCATGCATGCACACACACAATAAAACTTAAAACAAACAAAACATGAATATGCACATTTATCCAGACACTGTAATCGAATTCCTTTCTACTTTAGGTCGGACCCTAGAGCACTACCAATTCCGTCTGTAGGCTCCCTCGATCCCTCACGACCACACACTCAAGACCCCAAATACGGCTTGTTTACAGGAATTAGTCTAAAAGGAGAGTAAAAAGATCCACAAAAGCCAGCCTGATGCCGCGAGGTTCATGCCCTCACGCGCATCAAAGAACCATAGCAAAAATGGCGCACAGCATGATCAGATCACATGATCATGCTCTGATCAGCGATTCAAAGCGAGTCAACATATGATAACTAAATTATTGGAATCTTTCGAAAAACTATGATGTCAAAACATCAGTACATTTAGAGAATTATTTGAACAAGACCGAAGGAGAAGATTGATTACTTTATAATGAACTGCAAATCATGCAATTCCATTACACCTCACCGCCTGATGACATAACCATTCATACAATGAATACCTGAATGTCATCAACAAACTTATACTACACCTCACCGCCTGATGACATTATAAATAAAAGCACAAGAATAATAAAACAGAAACAAGTAAGGCAAAGAAGATGTCACGAACATACACATGACTTGAATAGACACACATACGCACACACGCACGCACGCACACATACCCACACAGATGCGCACACGCAGGCCAACAACGGAAAGTTAGTGACTATACCGTGCTGGTGGTACAATAGCAGCCCTATCACGCAAGCCATATGCCCGCATAACTGAGGGCTCGGCTGCTGGCAACACACGGACATACGTGGCACTGTCACTGTCATTCTCTGCAGCGGCACCATCTGCAGGTGCTGCTGGGGCTGGCTCTGTTTGCAACGCATTAGGCTTCAACAGTTCCACATTGACCGTTTTCTCACTAATCCGGCCGGTACTGGAGTTGGTGCTGCTGATGACAACAGTAGACGGTGACACGATATGCACTACAGACCAACCAGGTTCATATGGAGTCATCCGTTTCTGGTGACGTTCTGGGCGACGGAGAAGAACTGGGGCACCAACGACAAACGGACACTCACTCTCCTCAGCCAAAACAGCATCAGACTCGGCCACAGTATCATTGACAAAGTCACGAATCCGAGCGCACTTCAGTGATAGTTCAGCTGACCAGGACATAAGCGAACCTTCGACAACAGGACGCTCTACGATCAGGTCACATGGCTCCCAGTTGACCATGGCCATCATTGGCGACATCTGGATGGCAGCATGGGGGCGAGTACGGTAGTAATACAGTAATACCTGGAGCTCTGTCAACCAATCAGACGACGAGTCAATGGTCTTACGGATCATATTCAGCAGGGTACGGTTAAAGCGCTCAGCGCTGCCCTGCGACTGCGGGTGGCGAACTGCGCCGTGACGAACATGCACACCGAAGACATCAAACAATGCAGAGACCATGGCATTACAAAACTCTGACCCATTGTCGCTGCGAATGACACGTGGAGGACCCCATCGGGTACACAACTCCACCAGGCCGGCAGCAACACTGGACGCATCATGTCTCTGAAGCGGAATAATTTCTGCCCACTTTGTGAAAGAGTCAATACAGACCAACACACAATGATACCTGCCACTATGACACGCACCCAACTCAAGGGTATCAATGTGGACTACTTCCCACGGTCGGCTGGGCGAGTCGGAACGCACTTTCGGAACTGGGCCAGCAGACATAGAGCTGGCACAACGACAAGGGCTGCAGTCTCGGACATACTGCTGACAACTCTCAGCTAGCTTGGGAAAATAGCACCGACGGCGGATACTGCGCCACATGGCCTCCCAATTGCCATGGGCAGTAGCAGAATGTGCAGACGACAATACCTCTTCACGGAGCGACATAGGTAAAACGGGCACTGCGACTTCACCATCTATCGGGTCCTTTACACTGCGGTACAATACACCTTCAACGACTACAAGCTGATGCTGCACACGCTTGAATGCAGCCACAGACACAGGCTTACCAGCTACCAAGTCAGAGATAGTGGCACAAATCAATTCATCACGTTGCTGTTCAGCAGCTATCTTGTCCAGTGAGACAAAAACGGATGACAATGATGGCAACGGCACAGAAACAGAGATACCACACGTACCCTCATGGCGACGCTCATCTGCAGACTTGAGAACAGTCTTGGCGAGAGCTGTCCATCGGTGCGGAACACGGGTCAGGCAATCGGCACGATTCTGCTCACTTTTCACCCACGCGATGGTGACCTTGAGCCCAGCAACAGCGATCATGTCCGACAGGATAGCCAAACGACGTTGCACCAGAAGGGCTTGCAGACCCGACACTTTGACACGGGACGCGTTCCGTAACGTAGCTTGAATCCACCCGTGTACAGTCTTAGAGTCGGTCAGGAGGTGCACTTCACTGACGTTCCAGTCAACAGCCAATTCCAGAGCTCGGATGGCGGCTTCAAGCTCTGCGACATTGATATGCCGCTTGTCGTCCTTGGCCCTGAGCCACGCGCGGTCTTCCACTGTTACACCGCCTGCTTCCAGGACAACACCATACGCCAGGTCAGATGCGTCACACCACACTTGCACTCTACCGGTACTGACTGGAACATGCCACTGGCCACGCACTGGATCCTCGGTGCACAGACGAGCAGATAGATCACGACAGCACTGGTACACTACGTCAGACACTTCGCTGTCCCAGCTGCCACATTCGGATGACAGACGCTTGACGAAGCTGCATGCTGTACGTAACCACCCACAGATCGGGTAGTGACCAATGACGCGACCGCACCAGCTAAACAGACTGCGCTTGGTGATACGCACTGGTAGAGACACATCGATGTCACGGCGAACCCATGTCACTTCGCCGGTTGCATCCTGCTGCAACTGTAAGCCCAGCACTCGAGCTTCAGGCAGCTGTTCAGCAGGTTTCGTTGCGAGGCCGTACTCTGCCAACTTTGCCTCGGCTTCCACCTGGTGATTCTTTGCAACAAACACATCGTCGACGTAATTGTCGGCTCCCGGAACATCGCGCAGGATCCACTTGACTATGGCGTCCATCATCTTTGGAGCGACAGATAATCCAAAACCCATGCGCTGCATTACGAATCGTTTGCCCTTCCACAACACAATCTGGAAGCACTGAAGCTGCTCTGCTACATGAACTTGCAGGTAGGCCTTCCGGATGTCCATGAGGACATACTCGTGTGCAGGACCAGCCTTGCGCCACTTGCGCAGCTTGTCTCCACAGATAGGGGCCTCTCTGCCAGGCTCGGACTTCACAAGACGATTCAGCGACCGGTAATCCAAGCACGGTCGCACTGGAGTAGACTGTTTGTGCTCTTGGACCTGCGGGATGAGCGGCAGAACACACTGTGGGGGACCATGAACTGATGTATCGTGCGGGACCAGCCAGCCGTTGTGGATCCACAGATCAACTTCATCTTGAAACAACTTCTCTTGCTCCGCCGTCAGCTTATGGCGCGAGTATTCTCCGATACCCGACCCAACACTGGCTTCGGGACCGACGCCATCATTCCATTGCCATGTCAGTTCCCACCGGCTCAGTACATTATTCCAGCGTACGCTGCCATCACTCGTTGAAAGTGTGACGTTACCGACCTCATCCTCATCCACTGACACATACGGTAGTGGATGCTCTGACTTCTTTTCTGCGGCAGCACAGACAGGTTCAGCAGCTGTAAAGACCACTGACGCCAGATCATCGCCATCGTAGCGTACGCGAACCTCACCCACAGCTGATATCAGGGTCAAGCCAATTAGTACATCTGCACACACTGACTTGAGATCTGCCACAACGAGCGCCTCCACCTCTGTCTGCGGCAGCACAACATTCGCCGAGTCTTGTCGTGATAGTGTGACTCTGGTAGCGCCCAAGACTGGCAATGGCCGTCCATCGACTGCAGAAATCTGCGCATTGGAGGGGGTCAGCTGGCAGTGCAAGGCCTTAGCCAACTGGGCAGACAGCAACGTTTGGGAGGATCCCGTGTCTACCACTGCAACAGCACGATGTTCCTCCCCGCCAGGCAATTTTGCATCGACGTACATGCGAGGCAGACGAACATTTGTCGATGGCACACACAGAACGTGATGAACGGATTCACCAGAAACTGGAGCAGCAGCAGATGCTGACGTCTTACTACTGCGGGACTTCTTCCACGCTTCTCTCTCGGGACAATCTTTCTTGAGGTGTCCCTCCGCATCGCAAAAGTGACAGATCGGACGCCAACCTGAGTTACCACTAGCACCATCTCGTCGTTTCTTAACTTTACTCGGGCAGTTCCGTGAAATATGCCCGACTTCATGACACTCGAAGCACAGCACTGAACTGGATCGTCCTCGCCCGCTGGATGAGGATGACGACTTCACCGAAGACGCTGCTACGGCTGACACACCACCCGACATGTGCGACACCGAAGTGCGCAGGCGACGAACATATGCCACGCAGGCTCCAATTGATGACGTGTCACCATTCGATGTCAATTGGTTGGCTTCTGTCGACGGCAAGCCCCTTATGAACTGCTCGATGAGCATGGGTGACTTGCCGTCCGCTTCGACTTTATGTCCGGCTGCGATTAACAACCGGCGCAGATCCGCAGCGTATGCATCCACACTCTCGGATCGACCAAGGGTGCGCGTAACAAACTGGCCATACGCCTGTCCTGTCGACAGCGTGAAGGCATCACGCAGCCGTTGTTTCACACTGTTCTCTTTTTTCTTATCCTCATCAGAGAGCTCATCCCACACTAAAAAGGCATCTCCATCCAAGAATAACGGAAGTTGTGCCATTCGCTTTTCCTCTGTTGTCCATTGTTGAAGTTGAGCAGCCACCATAAACTTTCTCCAAAAGACATCAAAGTCATCGCGAGCTCCACGATACTGTTTCAAATACGAATCAAATTTGGAGGACATGGTGCATACAAGGTGTTCACCAGCACGCGCAACAGTTCCTTTATCGTCCGCGACGTCCAAATTTGTCACACTGACAGCACTGACACTCGAACTTTGATCAGTCTGCTCACAACCAGCACTACCACGCTGCTGTTTTTGGACTGTATTTCCACGACCACGACGACTTTTCCGGGGCATCCACGTGGGTTTCGGTACCAAATCTGTAATCGAATTCCTTTCTACTTTAGGTCGGACCCTAGAGCACTACCAATTCCGTCTGTAGGCTCCCTCGATCCCTCACGACCACACACTCAAGACCCCAAATACGGCTTGTTTACAGGAATTAGTCTAAAAGGAGAGTAAAAAGATCCACAAAAGCCAGCCTGATGCCGCGAGGTTCATGCCCTCACGCGCATCAAAGAACCATAGCAAAAATGGCGCACAGCATGATCAGATCACATGATCATGCTCTGATCAGCGATTCAAAGCGAGTCAACATATGATAACTAAATTATTGGAATCTTTCGAAAAACTATGATGTCAAAACATCAGTACATTTAGAGAATTATTTGAACAAGACCGAAGGAGAAGATTGATTACTTTATAATGAACTGCAAATCATGCAATTCCATTACAACACGCTCTCACGCACACACATGCGCATGTGCGTGCCAAACATACAAACCGTGGACACATGTACACCAAGCAGATAGAATACAAGGTACAGGTCCTCCCTCATTACAACGAGTCCGGTTACTACATAAACCCCGTTAGTACAAATATTACACAGCAATGAATCAAACAAGTCTCATTCCGCTGTTACTCCGAGTTTCGTTTCAGAACACTTCATCAGACAGCATATGACCAAGACTAACAATCACTAGAATATATACGGAGAAGGGGAGAAGGGGGCAAAGGTGATGGAGGTACATTTCAATAGCGCGAGGAAAAGGGATGACAAAATCAGCGTGATTATAAGAGGAAAAAGATGTTGAGAGTATAGAGCATAGAGCATAGCCAAGGTAGAGAAACAGCGCGATTTTCTGGCAACACATCAGTACAGATTTGTGCTGCATTGTTACACATCAAATTGTGACCTAGGGTGGTAAAAAAGGTGATGGGGATTGTGTTGTGGGAATCACTCACGCCAGGCAAGGGGTTGACTACCACACCCGCCAAGGCATCGGAAAACCGGCGACAGAAGCCAAGACCCGCCGAAGCGCGTGAGCCATGAGCCCTGGGGAGTGCTCACCATTCCCGCGCCCCGCGGAACCCCCCCCCCCCCCGACCGCCCCCCCCCCCCCCGGCCCTAACGGGCAAAACAGCCACCCCCAGCCTGGCGTGGCTCATGTATTTTGTCGTTCATCACGTTACCCTGCTGAGTTGAAACTTGTTGGCATGACGACATTTGGAGATTAACTCGCTCCTCTTATTCAGGCGGGTGCTCCTGTCGGCGGTGATGATGCGGAAAACCCCATTAGTAAATAGAAATCTGAAATCCCTGGCAAAACGTGGTCTATACAACTGCTTACAGGTCCGGTTACAACATAATCCGTTAGTACATAAAATTCGATATAACGACCCTTTGCCCAGGTCCCTGGAGTGCCAACCCTCAGTGTAAGATAATATTGACCATGCAGGACCAAGGCCAAAACACGTAGGATAAAGCAGAAAGAGGAAACGTATTATGTCTATGTATTCGTGAATATGGACGATCCTTTGCATCCAAGGAAGAGTTATGTTGTAGTAACTTGGAGATTTTCAATTATCTTATAACGAGTTGAAGCATCGATAATTTATGTTGTATGGAGGGTAGCCCCGGTAAGTACGAAGTAGTGCCTATTTCACCTTTAGCTGGAAGTCCTGCTACAAGATAAGTCTCGTTATAAGATAACTTTTTAGATGGCCCAGAGATTATCTACTAACGAGGGAGGACCTGTAGTGGGGTTGCCATAGTTTTTTTCTTCTTTTTTTGTCTTTCAATTTTGTCTGATAAATATTTACGAGACTTTGCATCGAGTGACACCGTGGATAACATTGAGCCAAGAATTATGCAATAAACCAGAAGAGATAATTATCTCTTCACAAGTAGGCAAATAAATGCGTAGGTGCCCGGCAATAGCAATCGGGCGAGTCACAGCAATGTACGTATTCCAACTTCAATGATACACATACACGGTTGACCACCCATGCCTCAAACCGCCGGGTCAAACACATGGTGGCCCGGCAACTTCAAACGGGAGCACACCGATACAACAGACACAGTTGACCACACATGCCTCAAACCGGCGGGTCAACCACATGGTGGCCCAGGCAACTTCAAACGGGAGCACACCGATACAACAGACACAGTTGACCACCCATGCCTCAAACCGGCGGGTCAACCACATGGTGGCCCGGCAACTTCAAACGGGAGCACACCGATACAACAGACACAGTTGTCCACCCATGCCTCAAACCGGCGGGTCAACCATATGGTGGCCCGGCAACTTCAAACGGGAGCACAACGATACAACAGACACAGTTGACCACCCATGCCTCAAACCGGCGGGTCAACCACATGGTGGCCCCGCAACTTCAAACGGGAACATACCGATACAACATATACAGTTGACCACCCATGCCTCAAACCGGCGGGTCAACCACACAACAACATACAGGTGTCACAACACTGAGACAGTACAGCACAACACTGAGAGGCAAATGCATTTGACCCTCCTTGGGGCCTCGTCACGTGGCACAAGATACCAACGTGTCATGTCTAAAGGGAGGGAGAGACCTGGGCCTTGTCCCTCACTAGTTTATGGAAAGAGGCGGAAGTTGGTAACAATAGACGTGTGTCTAGCTACTGAGCAGATACTGCTTAAATAGAGCACTCCTACTAAGATATCCTGGGTTTGTCCAAAGAGGTATGGAAAGGGTGCAAGCCGGTATAAGTCAAGTTCATTTGTGCATAGTTTTACATATCAGCCGGTTGTGAAAAAAATGGAATCTTCATCATGAAATCATCAGAATGGTGTGACAAGGCAAAAGTCTATGGCGGGACACAGGCCTGGAAAAAATCATATGCTTGTGCAATAGAACACCGGTTGGTTTCAGCTGAGTACGGTAAGGAGTTTTCTCAGTTGGTGAATTGTCGTCAAGCGTTTTTTTTAGCCGTCTGGGTTAGAATCGAGGCGTGTCAAGCCCTGCTCGCTGCAGGGGCGGACTGTAACATCAGGAATGGGGTAAAGAATAGTATTTAGAGTGTCATGAACCATGCTAACACTGTTCTGTTTTTACAATGCAAAATTAACAAATAGAGAGGTTCCGGGGTACGATTTTCCGTGCCAAAATCCGAATGGGCGCTACGGACTTTTTCGAGGCGTGCTGCATACGATTTTTCGGCATGGAGAATCCGTGTGGACTGGCTTTCATACGAACTATGTTTCGTATGGAGATTTTGCATCATCGGGTGCAGAGAGATTTTTCGGTTACAAATTTTGTACGAAAAACATCGATTTTAAGCGGGAAGTTTTGATTTCGGAAAAAATTCAAAATATAAAGGCATAGCGCGGTAATGTGACGTGTTTGCGATCGCAACCTAGGCAATGACGGCAAACACATAAATTCCGAACTCCGGAACATTTCACTGCTCGAAAACGACGTATAAAAAATTCGTTGCGCCTCTACGGATTTTGGCACGAAAAATCGTACTCCGGAACCTCTCTAATAAATCATGTGTTCTCCTGACCGTAACCCAAGAGGAGTCCTGTCATAACCGGACAATGTCTCATATACTGCCTCTGCACCGCTGTAATGTGCACAGATCTTTGACCCAGGGTGTTGTGTCCATTTTCCTTAAAATCGGCCACATTACCATTACTTACAAGATTGGTATTTTCTTGAGAGACGCCATCACGCCAGAAACGTTCAGCTGATCAGGTGGAGGCGGTACAATATCTTGTTCCATCAAGCATTTTCGTATTAAACTGCTAGTATGTCGAAGTACAAGAACTTGGAATGACTTCGGGAGGAGTAGGCAGGAGAACTTTGGGTGCATGAGCCGGAAACCGAAAAGCCTTCCGAACTGCATTGTATCATACATCGCTTTAGGCTAGTACAGCACAGGCGCCTTTCTTGCAGATAGCAGATTGTGCAAGCAGGACCTAGAGCATTGCAGCCGTGCATACAGGATTTCCATGCATGAGCTCACACGCTGGGTGTGCGTGCACTAGCTGCACAAACTGGTTTCGAGATCAAAGCACAGAAGCACAGAAACTAAGATTTCTGTGCGTCACGCTACTCATTTGCTTCTTGCGACGCTCTATATCAACCTGTCGGAGACGTAGTGAGTTTTCGACATGTTGACAGAGTGCATGGGCAACTCTGCTCGGTTTGGCCCTTGGCTGATTTAGTTGACGGTAACTTTTCTGGAAATCATAAGTAATACCATACGAGACATGGACTACGAGTCTGCGGGTCTGGTGTAAGCGACCTCTGGTTTTAGCGACCTCTGGTTTTCAGGTAGTTCACTTCCCCAATTTATCCTTTGAATTTGAAGTTCTCCCAATCCTTTCAAAATTATTATTATTATTATTACACAAAGACACACAATGAAAACCTTGGCAAATTAATTCCGTTGTGACTCAGAGTTTTATGGCTGAACCAATCATCAGACAACGTTGTCTGATGATTGGTTCAGCCATGAAACTCTGAGTCACAATGGAATTAATTTGCCAAGGTTTTCATTGTGTGCCTTGTGTACGCCGCTCTGCCTGAATCAGGCATTGAGCACTCTTGCAGAACCAAAGCATATTGCCTCTGTGTATTATTATTATTTTGAAGTGCTTGGTCCGGCTCATCGCAATTGTCGCTTATCCCCCACGCACCTTTTGACAGGTAAAACCCAGTCCAATCACGATATCAAACTTACTTTTGCTTGGGAGATCGAGATGCCAAGATCAAAGGAGGCACCAAAGAAAAAATGATCGCAACTAGCGCTTTGAATGAGATGTATTCGACTTTTTTGGGAAGTGGGA